TCTCTTCCTTGAGACTGAAAAATCGCAATATCTGTGAAGCTTTTGCCACCCCGTAGGAATCCTTTGGTTTATCTCTAATCATACCTGTGGTTCTCTTCCAATTTCTTCTAAAGCCTCCATGCCTGGCTCTGGGCACTGGGGCTCTCCAAAAAATTTGCTGAACTGTCCATGTGTTGAGAGGCTGGCACTGTGGTTCTTTGTTAGAAAGCTGGCTTTGCGCTCCTTACCACACACATGAATTCATTTGTTCGTTCATTTAACAGTCATGGATGTCAGCAGCTGTTAGATTGAACCCTATGAAATGGCCCATATTTAGCCATTTTGACCCTTCAAAGTGGCAATTTCATAGGGTTCAACCTAAGACCAATGTGCTAGTCATGATGGGGGAGACAAATCAAGAAAGGTATGGGCCATCCTCACTTCCTGTGTAGTGAGGGAAACAAGACAACCCTGAGACCCAGGGCAGAGGTCATGGGGTGGTGGTGGGAAGCAAGAGGAAAGCCGTCCCATCAGGCTGGGAGGCCACACGAGGATCTCTCAGAAAGTGACATTTAAACTGAGTTCCCATGGGTAAGAGTTCATTGTAGATTGCTGATTTGTGGTCTGTTTTTTATCTCTTATAACCCCAGAACAGCTAGTTTTGCTGCATACAAAATCACCATGATAATGCTTGCTTTGTGTATTTTTTTTTAATCATTCAAAGGTCACTTAGGGCTACCAAACATAATTGTTGGATCCGATTTTCATTTAATTGCTGAAACTGAATATAATAATTAAACTTTGAAACTCAGGGAAATATCACATGGCAAAATTAATAGCTATGACTCAGCACTGAATATCTAACTAGAAAGCATTCTCAGGGTAGTCAATGTGTAGGTTAAAAAGATACTATAAGTTGGATGGCTGTAGACCATCCGGAAATCTGTTCCCCAGTCTGTGCTTAAAATACACTGGGAATGATCAGGGTATTGTAAAAATGAAGAATCATTGACACTATCCCCACGGACTGCCTCATTCCTTTGCCTCCCTGTGCCAATTGTGGGGCACAAATGATTCTT